CTTTGTAAGAATTCTCTTTCTTCCTGAAGGCCTAGTAAGTATCTTCTTGCAGCTCACTGGTTCTGTGGCCAAGGGCAAGGGATAAACTGATGTAAGACAAACAGAGTCTACTCAGAAACTTGGGGGGAGCCAAACCATGTAGGTGAGAAGGGATATCTTCCCAAAGAATATTTGGGTCACTGATCCTACAGGGAAGAGGATTCTGGTCACCAAGTAAAAGATGAGCATTGCAGAGCCCCTAAGTTAGATGCCCGGAATTGCATACAATGATTTGCATCTAAATTGCTTCTGATAGGTAACTCTGCATCTGGCCGGACCCATATTCATTCATTATGTGAATGACTCTACACATTATTTTCATACAGATCTTTGCTTTCCCATTTTTAAATACTGCAAGATAAAATTTTACCATGCCCAACTGCTGATTTTGATGTACTGTTAGTTGCAATCTCCACCTTTTGTACTTGTCCAGAACTTAGAAACGGAATGTTATTCTCCTGATTTTCAGGTGTTTGGGAAATGGAGTGTGTACCATGAGCTCAGGACTTCCAAATGGCTATCTCTGGGCCTTTGGTTAGAGAAGGACCAGTAATTCACTCTCCTGGCAGGGCCCACCCATTCCCACATTCTAGTTGCTAAACCTTCTGGAAGGCCCCTCTTCCCCCATATTTTGAGAACTCTTTCATTGGGAACATCTTAGCAATCTTCCCTACCTACACATGTTTCCATCCTGAGGGAGATTAGTCAGCTTCTATAATACTCCTCCTTTTGTCCAAACGGTCCCTCTCTTTCATGGTCACCCTTACTCACAGTCACTATCTCTTGGCCTCTGTCCCATTTTAAGACACTGGTTTTATCCAGTGTACACATCACTCTTGGAGCCACTCTTAGAGCTGATGGATATTTCGGGCTTTAATGAGTACCGCCTTGCAATCCTGCTGGTGTAGGGGGTGGGGGCTAAACTCCAGGTCAGCAGTTCAAATCCACCAGCCACTCTGAGGGAGAAAGATGAGGCTTTTTACTCCCATGAAGACTCCGTCTCGGAAACCCAGAGGCAGCCCTACTCTGTCCTACAGGGGTCGCTATGAACCAGAATTGACCAGGTGGCAGTGAGTTTGCTCTGTGGCCTTGCAGCCCTGGTCTAACTTTCAGCCACAGACATTCAACTGCACAATGTGCATAGTCATTATGTTTGCCAACCCCTCACTGGCTCCTCCTCTGTTTGACACCATGAATACAGAAATACCAAATTGGCATCTCACAAGATTCCACTCTGAGCTCTTATCTTGCTATATGCTCTCTAGGACAGGTTACCATCTATGATTACAGAGCACTTGAAATCAAGGCAATATGATCGAGAACTAAAATTTTAATTCAAATAGCCACATGTGGGTGGCTACTATACTAAATAGCATCAGTCGAGGAAATTTTCATTCTTTCCCATGACTTTGTAGTCCATGACTTGTTGACTCATTCACAGCTCCAGCTATGACGTAAAAGAGCTCTAGCCCTGTTTACTAACTACACAAAACTCCCACTTGCATATCTTAACAAAAATTCTTTATGTTAATCCAGAAGTTTCAAATCAACTTCTCTGAATTATTACCATCCCCCTCCAGTCCACAATTCTTTTACACCTGTGCTAATACTTCATACAGTCTTCACCATTATTTCATTCACCCATCTCTTTTTCTTAATAGTCAGATTGACTTTCTTACAATAGAGTAGGCATGCCACTCCTCCATTGAATACCTTGTAACGGCTTCTCTTGTCACTCGGAGTTGAATGACCTGACCCACCTGTCTCTCTAACCCAAGCCCTGTTGCACATACACCTGTTCGCATCTTCAACATATCAAGCTCTTCCCAAACCAGGGTGTCTGCACAGCTCTTCTGCTCTTGATACATGTGGCTCTCCCTCATCCTCCAGTTCTTAGGCTTACTGTTACCTTCTCCCGAGGACAAGACTTCCCTGAGCACCTACATAAAGAAGTTCCTCTCCTCATTTTCTCTTGGTACTCTGTTCATTCCCTTTATAGTACTTTGCAACTTGAAATGATTTTTAAACATTATTTTACTGGATTGGGGCAGAAAGTTGGTGATCCCATTAGACATTCCAGGTGGGCAGGGACTAGGCCTGGCACGGTGTTTCCCACACAAGTAGGTGCTCAAGAACACTGAATGAATATATTCCTTCAATATCTGCCCACATTGTTCATTTCCATTTCCTTGGTTCCATGTTCCTTGGATACAGAACATCTTTACTGCTTATTATATGTTGCCAGGACTGTGCTGAGCTAAGCTGGGCCAAGTTCTCCTTACTACAAGGACTTAAGCTTCAGCAACCTGACTCTGGAGTTAATTTGTGCCTCTTAAAAAATAGAAAGCGGGTCCAAGCAGGCCTCTGGCTTCTCTTATTTGTTTAATTAACAAGTAAACAAACTGGCAGGCAGCTTACAAAACTGAATGCCTAAATAATGGTGCACTGAGTCTAAAGACCAAGGTGCCTCATTTGGTCAGCAGTCTTCTTTCCCCAATAGGGCCTTTGGTTTACTTAAAGTGTCGAATGGTCCATATTGCTAAGATCCTGCATGTGATTTCTATTAACAGCCTGGACCTCTGTTTTTAGGAATAGTTGGATGGAGTCCTTCTAATTGCTGGTTACTTTTGGAATTCTTCACTTTCTCTTTTATTTGTGTTCCTAGCATTTGCTCTTTGATCCTGGACATGGGGAGGGGCACTTGTGACTTAGGTGCCAAAATACTAGAGGCAGATGGGATCTTTTCCATTGATGAGCAGTTAAAGCATTTATAGAGCACCAACAATCATCAGAAACTGGTCATCCCTCCTTTGGCGACTGGCCCTGAACTTAGTTTGGGCTATGGGTTGTTCTAGTAAGAAAGAGGAGGACAGGCTGGGAACGTATTTAGGAAAATGTTAACAATGAGGGAAGGGGATTATACCTATATAGATTTTATGAGAAAAATAAATGAATTTGCCTTGTAACATTATAATTCCCACACCGAGTGCAGGCTGATAATACAAGGACAATCAGATTCCCCAAGATTGCACAGCTCAGCCTACCTTCTATAAGTTGCCTTGGTGACTCCAGTGAACATTGCAACTTCTAAGGACAAGAAGATTCTGGAGTTAGCAATGCTAATTTCAATATCACTTATAGCAAGTAGGCATTGGGTGAGGTAGACTTATTAAAAGCAATATTAATAAACACTTGCATATATGATACAAGGGGGCTTCTAAAAGTTTGTGAAAAAAATCATTATATTTTAATTCCATTTCTCAAAAAAATGTTTGACGCCCCTCATATAGATTCTATTTCCAGAAGGATACGCAGATGGCAGCAGGGATCGCCTCTAAGGAGAGGACTGAGAAGGAAACTTCTCATTGGGCGCTTTCCATGCACTGATCACGTTCATGTTGTAGCTTGTCAAAAATGTTTTAAAATATACAAAATGTACTCTTGGCTCTCAATGAGCAATTTAGCTGGTGGTGAGGACGGCACACGTGAGACTATCAACGTGAAACATGATGGAACAGGGAACCCCGTCTTCTTAAAAGCATTGGCTATATGTTCAGGAGAAGGCAAAAGTAAAAATACAAGACAGCATGTACTACCAATTTGGGTGGTGCTGACTACAAGCAGTGTGGAAAAAGAAGTCTGCTGAGTTGAGCAAGCTGAGTCTTAGAAGAAAGGAAATTTTGGCTCAGAAAAACTTGAGGTGGGTGGGGAAAGTAGAGGTGGGAATGTGCATAATTAAATAAAGAACCGTGAACTCTGGACTCCAATTCCTCATTTGTAAAATGGAGATGAGTACCCACCTTAATAAAATTATTAAGACAATTAAATAAAGGATGCATATAAAGCATCTGACACATAGTAGGTGCCTGTCTGCATCTGACACATAGTAGGTGCCTGTCTGCATAGTGGCTGATGGAAACATGATGGAACAGGGAACCCAGTCTTCTTAAAAGCATTGGCTATATGTTCAGGAGAAGGCAAAAGTAAAACTGTGGAAGGTCACCCCATTTTCTCTGCACTTCCTACAGCATGACGACTACAAACAAGCATCTCCACTCTGTCTCTCATGTTCAAGAAAGTAAGGGATCGGACAGTTAAAGGATTTCTCTCTATCATGGCGCTTCTGGTGCTTAGTTAAGACGGAATTCTGACTGAAGGCCTTCCCACAATCATTACATTTATAAGGTCTCTCCCCAGTATGAATTCTCTGATGTCGGACAAGGTGTGCCTTGCAAATGAAGCTTTTCCCACACTCGGTGCATTCATGAGGCTTCAGCCCAGTGTGGACCCTATGGTGTTGAGCAAGGTCTGAATTCCACATGAAGCCTTTCCCACAGACCTTACATTCATAAGGCTTCTCCCCAGTGTGGATTCTCTGATGCCGGAGAAGGGCAGGGTTCCGAGTAAAGCTTTTCCCACATTCTTTACATGTGTATGGTTTCTCCCCAGTGTGGATCCGCTGATGTTGTATCAGGCTGGTGTTCTGACTAAAGCCCTTCCCACATTCCTGACATTCAAAGGGCTTTTCTCCAGTGTGTATTCTCTGATGCCTAATCAGGTTTGACTTCCAAACAAAGGCTTTAGCACATTCTTGGCATTCATAGGGCTTCACCCTAGTGTGAATTCTCTGATGTGCAATGCAACGTGATCTAAAACGGAAAGCTTTTCCACACTCCTTACATCCATAGACTTTTTCTTTATTATGAGTTCTCTGGTGTTGACCAAAGTCTGCATTTTGATTAAAACATTTGCCACATTCTTCACATCCATAGTATAGCTGCTTACTTAGAACTTTCTGACGCGTGGTCAGGTGAGTACTGAGATCAGTCCTGTCTGGGCTTGCTTCCACTGAGACCATCTCATCCTTGGCAGTCACTTCTATAACATCATTTGTCGTACTTGCCATGCTTTCCCCAGTGGGCCATCTCCCTAGCTTACTTTTCTCCACTGCACAGGTCTTTCCAAACCAGAATTCCTGGGAGTCATACCACTGGGATCCACTTGATAGCATCATATGGTCATGTGCCTCCTGAAATAATTGCTGCTTCAGAACAAAATCCTCTTTTTCACTCTTCGACACAGCCTCTAAAAGAAGAAATCAAAGGGGAAAATGTTATCAATACCCACCAAGAGGTATTAATATGCCCATTTCTAAATGCCACCCCTATGCCTCCACAGCCTTATCCTACCAGAAAATGACAAAATAGGACAGCATACATAATGTAGGAAGAAGCCAAAGGCAAAAACTAGACAGAGATGCTAAAGTCTGTGATCCCCAGCACCAGATAAAGCATCAGGTGGGCTCTTAAGAAAGATTGCACTGAACCAAAGTGAGACAAGTTTGAACTTCTGGTGGCACCGTGGTTATGCACTGGGCTGCAATCTGAAAGGTTGACAGTTAGAAACCATCAGCAGCCCCTTGGGAGAAAGACTGGGTTTTCTACTTCTGTAAACAGTTATGGTCTTGGAAACTTAGAAGGGCAGTTCTACCCAGTCCTATAGGGTTGCTATGAGTCAGTATCAACTCGATGGCAGTGAGTAAGTCTAATTTATGAGACCCTAATTCAGGGAAGAGAACCTGCTCAGAAATAAATTATCCTTTTGGGTCTATCTGACGAACCCAACTTTTTTCACACAAGTAATAGACCTTGTTCTCACTTCTCAACACGAATAAAAGGAAATACCGTTTTCTCAATCTGATCACAAACCTACCATGGAAAATCTTTCCCCCACACCTCTTCAGTAAAAGTTATGCAAAGATTCTCTCCCCTTTTGTTCCCACTGCGATTATTTACACCTAAATTATAGCATCGTTTTGTTATAATTATGCATTTTTAGGTATGACTGTCCCATTAGATGGTGAATTCTTCCAGAACAGAGGTCACAGCTTACTTGTTTCTCGATTCCTGCCAACTAAGGCAATGAGTAAAAGGCAGCATTTACATGAAAAATACTGGCTGACCATCCCAGCCAAATGGGTAGGATGCAAATGCCAAAATGCATTCAGTAGAAAGCCAATAGGCACTGGGTTTGATCCTGACTCCAAGCCTGTCCGCATTTAATTAACTGAGCTTGATGTCTTGGCAAATGCGATATCCGAGTTTCACTCCTCTTGATGAACTGGTTTCCTTGCGGAGAGCTGTCCACTCAGAGCATGCATGGCAGAATGGGGTTTGAACGTTTTGCACAGAAAGGCAGAGGGAAAACGAGGTGTGACTGGGAGGAACGTGTCCGTCTCCCTCTCGCTCACCAGTCCAAATTAGGCCTGGACCTGCTCCATGCAGTTTCGGGTTCAGGGGCTCCTCCTCCTGTTCAGGCTGGGGGATCCCAGGAAGCTTCAGAAATGGATACCCTGCTAGGGTCAAGATACAAAGAAGGTTGGCTCAGTAAGAGCAGGGGGGAAGCGCAGAGGGGGAGTTGGCAGGAGGAGAATGCAGATGGTTGTTCATAGTGTACATGATCTGAAACCTAAAGGGGACAATAATATAAAGAGAAGCAGCAATCTTATTGTGGGAGTTATATAATCATTTGTCAATTTGAGGATTAAGAGTGTAGGGGTGGAGTCTAGCCTGTCAATCATTGTATAACCAAGGAGGACTCTGTGTAGGCATGGCCTTCTCCTGAGGATTCTGGGAAATCCGGTATTCCTTCTTGGAGGCAGGAGACACTCTCTCTCTCTGCTGCCTTCCTGCTAGATATCCCTGAGGAGAAGCCACATGGACCTACCCTGATGCAGCCTTGGAAGCTGGAGAAGCCACATGGAGACCCCTGCCAGCACTGAGATGCTTAGAATGCCACTGGAGCCAAAGACTTTCCACCCACTGGCCTGTGATTGTCCTGCATTCAGCGTCATTGAATGTGTTTCACGAGTCAGGACTTTATAGATTAGTATCAGACATATGGGCTAATATCAGACTTATGGGCTTGGACTGGACTGGGTTGGGATGCTTTCTTAATGTACAATTACCCTTTATATAAAATTCTCTCTTGTACACATAATGTTTATGTGTTTATGAGTTTGTTTCTCTAGTCTACCCGGACTAACAAACTTATCAGTTCCCAAAGAGGCAGTGAACATAATCCATTCTAAACCATCAGAAAGAAAGAAGAAACAGGAAAATTGGAGAAGAAACCGAAGCAAATTTTATGTCCCAACACAACTTTCCTTAGACCCTCTCCAACCAACACTCCTCTACTATCTAAGAGTAAAGCTTCTTCTCCACGTGCCCCTCTAAGAGCGAATGCCGGGTCACATGGTAAAAGAATCAGCATAGAATGGCATTTCAAGGAGCTCTTCCTGGGAATTCAGTCCAGTCAGTCTGTGCTAGAAAACTGTAATCTTTGTTTCCTTCCTTCCTATCCATCGATTGCTTTCCAATCCCACAAAGGATTGGAGGCAGTTCACTGAGGGGTCTCTCTATGGTACTGGAAACGGACAGCACCAAGCATCACGAGCCACTTCCAGATGTGGAGTCACACCCCACTGATGGACAGCTCCATGGACATAAGTCCACTCCGGCGCAGGCTTTTTCAAGATGCACTCGGACCTGTCTCTTTGTCACTGCCATCTAAAACCTCCTTAGATTCACAGCAATTTTACATTGTCCAAGCTTTAGCCTTTTATAATGCTGAAGCCAGGGACTGCTTGTCTCCTAAGCAGTCTCTTCTCTCAGATAAAAGTGGACTTTGAGTAGGTACAGATATGCTACCGGAGGGCTGCTACAGCTCAGAGATTTGGAGTTTTGCTTAAGGAATAGCCCGGTTCTTGGTTTTCTGTGTAAAAGAAAGGAAACTTGCCCCTCCCCTGAGAAGAATGTATCTCAAAGGATGGCACTGAATCTGCAGCTTCGGGAGAAG